TCGTGTTCGTTACAGTAAAAACCTTAAATTTAATATATTTACAGTGAGATCAGTGTTTTATTTTATATAAATATATGTTATACGACGAGACTAATTTTTCTTACGAAAGGCAGAAATTAGGTTTAATTTGACAGATAAAACTTCTGCTGAGACCAGTTTAACTGTGGACCGTGTGAACACAGAAGCGTTGTGAATAGCAGGTTTTGTTTTCGCTGTCATGACAGAAGCTGACGATACATATTTTGTTACGATGTCGTCACAAAACAAACCAAGATTTTGTAGCCTACAAATGAGAAAAATTTCACCGAAAGATGTCTAAAAAACCTCTATGTAATACTAAGACTATCAACAAATTATCTTTACTGATTTATAAATAAAATTTATGACTATTAGTGCATTATTTAATAAAGTATAATCAACTGTACAAGTTTTATGTGGTCACGAACGAGATGGTCGTAATACAAGGCGGCCTGTTTAAGTTTATGCCCGGATTTTGCTGAACGGATTAAAGGAAAACACAATGGCTGATAGGTTAAGTTAAGAAACGAGTAACGCGTGTATGTCAGTGAGACAGTTTACCGTTGTGGTAACCTTTCCGGTCCACCGGAATGATGTTTATCATAAGACAGAAAACTTAAGACGCTGAAGGGAATTGGCAATTGAGGTCAAGACAGGCGGAAAATGGTTTATCGACATTTTTGCCTTGCGTTCTTTTTTTTTTAATAGCAAAGGCTTTCAGAAAACAAAAGAAGGAAGGAAAATGAGATAGAAGAAAAGGAAGAAACAAAGACATACACGTAGGAAATTCGGACACCGTTTCTTTTTAAGTTTGTAGAGATTTTCATTCGGAATTGATTCCATAAACGTATATGACAGTATATGGTTCATTGCATCAGTATGATAACAACCATTCACCTTAATACACGAGTAAAGCGAACTCCCGAAACGTCCGTATCAAATATACCCCCAACCGACAGATATAGGAACTTTTTAGTACATAAAAAAACGGACCTACATATGAATACGGCACGAGAATCCTCAACCAAAAACTTCATCCTTGGTCATTCAGAACAACACTTTAATCACATGCTGATAAGGCTTAAGTGCACTAGATTTTTGTGCACCCGGTAGGACCTATTCGAGAGATCAATCTTTGCTTCCGGAACATGCCCCTTCTCCCGGGACCTCTTTCAGCCAGACATCACGTCATTCTTCGTCACCTGAACGCGGAGCTCCAAGACTTAGCCCTCACAGCAACTGCTGAATCCATCTAGGATCCATCCGCGGATTGCGTACTTTATGTATGCTCACTGTATGTTTCGGAAATACACGATTGCATTCTCCTCACCCTCTGGACTGTGTCACAAACACGAAGAAAGAACTGTTTGGATTGAAACCCCAAATTTAGTCAGAGATGAAGTTAATTTTTGCAGTCTTCCACATGTCCACGTTTAAGATTCCTCTTTACGGCCCTTAATTTAAATCTTACGCATTTAAGAATGTAATTTTATAGTACAATTTTTTTTTCCAAAGGTCAAGAGACATAATTGCAGAGTACTGTAATATCAACTTAGCGAGACGACATTAAATACAGCGATCAAGACATAAATCGTAGATTTAGAACCACCAGATGGTGTTCGTGGGCATTACCGTGGCTAAACAATGCTACAGCTTCCATTAATCAGAAGATGAAAATGAACAACAACATGGCGGACCGCAGACCTGTCGCCGGCATCATTAATCTGTGGGAGTCATAGGGAGGGGAAAGCAGATTAAGAGAAAACTTAAGTAAACTTCTCATGCCTTCGCTGCTACGGAAAAGAAAACTTCATCGTTACATAAAACAGGAGTTTTGAAATCCAATGCTGAAACCATGATCCATCGCTATTTATTGACACCGGTGTGTTTTCAACTTGTGGTCCGGAGTCCACGTGTGGGTTTAATGACATGCAACAGTCCATTCCGTTTTAACACAGCATCCGATAAGTAACAAAACGATAAGAAAAATTAGTTACGTCAGAGAAAATTTCCGAAAGACTGTAACAAACATTGATTTCAAAACACTGTATTTGTTCGCTTGTTTAACACCTTGAAAATAACAACTAGAGCCTGGGTTAAAATAACTAAATTCATTATTAATCACGTTTTATTCGTATCTTTTCCTGTATTTATAAAGAATGCTTGGCCAGTTTAAAATTTGACACCGTAGTTGTTTTAATAATTCTTTAATATTTATAAATAGGTCGATCCTGACAAACTCCGTGGGGTAGTTCTCCATGAGAAGCGAACAGTGCGCTCACCTAGCCAAGAAATATCCGGCCTTTTATGAAACTAAAATGCACGTTCCCGTCATTAAACCCTATCGAAACAACAACGCATTCAACAATTTGTGACGGTCTATCAACTCCAATGTCTTACAAGTTGTCGCTTTTCCAGTTTGGCGTCTTTAAATTTCACAGGAAACATCTGCTCTAACAATAAACTTGTGTATTACCTGCTCGTTCGGTGTTACTAAAGTCGTTGTTACACTGACTGTGTGCACTATATCGTCAGTTTTCAATAAAATAAGAATCGATCTTTAATTGTATTTATTTAATTAGTGTTCTGTCTGACGACAGGTCCATATGAACAGGATCCTTCCATCCTTTTCTCTTCTCGGACTGGGACCTGTTCATACACGTTCTTGGCAGATGATCCAGAAGTGGTTTGCCATTGCCTTCTTCTGTGTGTGAATGGAGTAATTGTTGGGAAAACTCCGTGTTGCCTAGACCACGGCCTTGCCCAACACAAGTTATAAATTCGGGCACCGCCGGGAATCGAACCCGAGACCCCAGGATTACAAGGCCAGCGTTCTAACCGCTAGACCACCGTGGCTTATAATTGTTTTATACCGACACTTTTATTTCCGTATGACTTATTAATGCCGAAGTAAAGAACTGCCGTTCTCCGTAGGCAACTTCTCTGACAGCTATGTTGAGCGGGCAGCCAGGAGGAAATCGGAAGGGGCATTATGAGAAACATTTTATATGCGTCAGTTCACAGGCAAAAATTTCCGCCCGATTTCTTGAGAATGCTTGAGGGCAAGTGACGGTATTTTACGACTCATATAGGAGCTGCCCATCTAGAAGGCCTGCGTTCGATCCCAACCAAACCCCACTCTCCGAAACACGACGGCTGCAACGTTCTACGCGGGACGAGCTTTGCTGGTGAAGTGACACGGAGAAAAGAACAGACAAAGAGAGGAACTGCTCTGTTATCTAATCTGCAGGAACATTAATTAAATAACTCTTGACCTCTGACAGAATCCCTCCCCTCGCGGTTCCATCATTTTATGTCCCTTCAAGGAAAGAAAAAGCCGGAGACGGGAACACAGCGTCTAGACGTAAACTATTATTATGCGAGAGATATCGATCTCGTCTCTCGATATAACAGATCGACAGCATTATTATCACGATGCTGGTTTCAGTTTAATCTTTCATCTGTTTTTGTTTCTTGGAAACAATGTGATGCATCAATTACAATGTCTCGACTATACGTACAGCTTTACCTTATAAGGTACATCCATTCCCCCATACGTCGTCACGATGTGGGTGTGCCTTTACCTTACCGCGTTCAGACAGACTAGTAGTACAATGGAGGATAATATTAAAGTGAGACTTTAATTAAGCTCTCAAGTGAAGTGGACAGGACTCGTGGCAGTCTTTTTTTTCTCTTGTTGTGTTTGACTACTGGCGACACTAAGAATTTCACTGAGAAAAATTTCAACGATTAAATCGACAAGAATTTCGAACGTTAACTAACTCTCTGGTAGAGAACCCAGAGATTCTGCAACTGACTAACTGGAAGGGAGCGAACGTTATCAAAAAACAAGTAACGAGCTAGACATTTGTATAGTGACTGAAGAAAACCATGAGAAACTTTAGTAACGAAAGTCGGTCTCCAAGCCAACATTTGAACCGTGGCGAAGTTCCGTCTTTTTAAACATGGATTATAAATTTTACTTAAATTATTGTAAGCAAATATTCGAGTTGGGTCCTACACGATATTGTGTTTCGTAAATTCAAAGGGGCGGATAATTCGTGTTACATTTTTGTACGCATATATTATGTGACATTGATAAAATACAAATTGGTTGCCGCGTCGAATTTGTTAGAATCAATCCACATAATAAATCACTCTGAATACACGACGTTAAACATGCAGCCATTGCGGGGTGACGCCATATTGGAAAATGTCTATATAGCATAGCCTCACACCCAACTATAGAAACATGAGTTGTAAGGGAGGAGAATTTTGCCTTTGAGATAAGACAATGTGTGAATCTTCAAAATCTGGTGAAATGTCAATTTATGTCTCCGCGTCTAAATCCCTGATGAACCAGATAAAGCAGACTGTGAGTTATGATAAATCTCCTGCTGGGATAAGACAAATACTTTCATATTAATTAATGTAACTAATTGTTAATAATCAACCAGAAAAAACCACACATTTAAAACTTTTTGCGTAATAGAAATTAGGTTAAAACTCAATCATTCTTAAAGAGTAACGCTATGAAAACTCTTTGCATTACGTTAGACCAAATTTTCAAAATTCAAAATGTAAGTATATTTAAGAGAAGATGTAAAACTTACGATTATGACTTGAATATATCGGATTGTTAAGGCTGTACTTAATTACAAACCGTATAACACAAACCAGGGTTTTGTTTCTCAAATTACACGCTACAATCAACCGAAATATGACTACGCTATGACGTATGCTTGTAAAACAAAACTGAAATCCATAACAATGAAATTTTTTCACAGAAAGATACAGTCACCAAATTTGTGAAGATGATAATGGATTTTCTATACTGAAATTGGTGTTAACGATAAATAATATACAACAATAAATTCATCTAAGGGAGAATAATTTAGAAATTCTCCAATTAAATTATCAAAAATACTGATAAATTATTAACAACAACGGATACTACATAAATTCAAACTTAGTTTTCTTACTCGTTGTGCGGAATGTCTTCATCTTGTTCCAACGAAGTGGGTAGAAAGGCCATAAGAACCACTAAAAACAACAATAAGCAGGAATAATACTGGACATTCTTTGAGTTTAGTGAGGACATGGTCCCACGTATTCGTCTACGACCGATGTCCGGCATATTCTCCACACGAGCACACGCTCAAAATAGGTCACAACACTGACACGTCACACATTATTGTTTATATTATTGTCTCGGTTACTATTAGGAATTATTATAAAAACATTAGCTTCGATTTGTTTTAAATATATATAAAAATGATATAATAGAAAACTTTAACTGAAGTTACGAGAACTACTTTGAACCACATGTGATTTCACAGATTATCTCTCGTAGTGTTGAGTCTCCGTGACGTTGTACTGATGAATGCATTCGAACTCAATACCCGTACGTATATCGTGCAATCACTGCATCTCAAGCGAACACAGTTTCAGGTTTTAAAAAACACTCACCGCCCGATTTCTGTCCAATAAATTAAAAGGCGAAGAACTGAATTATCTGGCCGGCGTTGCATCGCGGGAGGCGATTTGCTGTCTAGCGTACTGTGCTGCTGCTGTACTGTCGACTCTGGGGAGGGGTAAAAGGCGAGGGGAAGGCTGCAATGTGGCGTGTTCTAATTTTACAAATCGGAATGCTTGCAGAGACTAACACAGACCGGGTTACAAGAGAAATAAATGTTCGTCGCACATCGCCCAAGCAGGAGGGAAATACCTACGATGAAGCTTCTGTGATTTAAAGAAAGATCCGAACCCCTCTGAAACCGGGGGAGGGGGGTGATGATAATGATAATAAAAATGTGTGTATTAAAAAGCTTGTCTGGTGCGTCGCTGAAGGGGGTTGGAAATCCCTTGCCCAGCCCGGGCAAAATTCCCAGTTTGCGCCGACGCCGACTTGCTTATTGATTTCCTCCTATGTCGCTCTACGG